TTTTTTTTTTTTGGTTTTTTTTAATTTTCAATTTTTATTATTCACACTATTATAAAATATTTAAATTATATATAGTAAGGTAGGAATACACTAATAAAGGAGAAGAAGAAGAAGGGGAAAAAAAGAAAATTAATGGCTTGGGTAGAAGTGTACGGTGGTCAGAGGAGCTTAGCTTTCGAGCTAACCACCACTAACCACCGCTTCCAGACGCAAAAAATAAAAGACAAAAGTACTAGAAAAACAAAATACGAAAGTGCGTAAAGGAAATATTACCTAAGTAGTAAAACAAAATTCAATTTTTTTGTATTTTTTCCGGTAGAAACCTGCTTTCTTCTAGTATCCACAACGCCGTGTAATGGGCAAAAAAGGAAGGTTCCATGCATTTACCACTTCTTAAGTGATTTTTTATTCATGTGGTGACTAAAAATTGTAATTTTAGTTGAGATAACTTTGCAATTATCAATTGCTTTAAATGAAAACTACTCTCGGCTATTTTTCTGCGCGTATTACACCTTGGGTGCACTCTCCAAGGTAACAACCATGTAGTTATAATTGAATTTGGAGCTGTTGGGGACCTGTGACGTCATAATTTTATATCGGCCACCATCTTGAAATGTACTGAGAATTTCCATTCATGCATTCAAATCAGAGTTTGCAATCTAAGCATTTCTTGTTTTCAGGGTCTAAAGCATTTCTTTACTGCGCTTTTCACAAACACGCAAACTCTAAAGTTCAAAAGCCGCCTTCACAATTGCGTTTTCATGTAGGGAAATCTCTATTCCTCATTAGCTCGGCTTCTCGGAGATTTTCCCGCCACAGTCACTCCTCCCGAGTAATGTACAAATTTTAAATTTAATGTTAATTAACCTATTTATTATCGTTTTTATTCTGCTTGTAATTCATTGTGTGTGGCAAAATAATAAATATATAAAAATCACAAGCAACGAACCTTGAAACACAGACACACACAAAACGGATCTAAATCCACCAATCACAGATCACAAACTTTGACCTATTGAACCCGTTTAAGTAAAGTTCTGTTTCCTAAGAGGTCCGTTAAGAGGATTGACGGCAGCACGCAAACGTCAGTTTGCTTTTGAAATTCAGAGTTCGCGTGTTTTTGAAAAGCGCAGTAATTAAAATTGTCTTTCTTTGGTAACGTTTCATAACTTTTTTCAAAGTTCGGATTTATAACTTAAAAGGGGCCTCCCACGCCTGCCGCCCAGGAGCCATTGCCTAGGTACCGGCACAAAACAGTGAGGTGTTCACACCTTGAGTACAATACAACAAGTCTCCACCTTGTACTCGGGTACTGGCACCATGCTTGAATTCTAGTGTAGGTACTTTAAACAAAGGGTGTGTTCACTTTAGAAGAAAAGAATAAAACTTATACATGTACATAACATACGGCTATTTCCAAATTCTCTGCTGAAAACTTATACATAACATAATTACGGCTAGTTCCAAATGATTTATTTTAGCCGTGTTGCTACTAAAACGATTATAAAAAAAGATAAGCTTGTGGTCCACGGCCTGTCGCTGTGGTAGTGAATATATTTATTGGGAGTTAAGCCTACAGATTACTCCTTTCCTTTCTTTGCTGGTTCGCATATCTTGGTAACAAACTGAGTTTTCTGCTTAAGCTGTGATGGAGATATACACTACAATCATAGTGATTTCACTAGGTTCTCGGTACTTATGGGCATAACTTCAATTTTTCGCAGGGAAAGGATTCCGCTGCTGCTGCCATTGAGGTCAGAGTGTCTTTTAACGCTTGTAGTTCCATTGCTGGCAGCTGGAAATATCACGCGTATTCTTCTTTTGAACCTCTCTCTGATCTGCAGGATAATCAAAGAGAATTAATTCAAAAGATCGTTCCCTGCCAAGTCTGTGAGGAAGTTTGGACGGACGGACGTACGCTGACGTCATAACCAAATTTTCTCGCATCGATCGATAGGTTTCCATTTTCTATAGCAATGGGGGCTCCGCCACCCGCGTGTGGAGGTTCCGCTATCAACTGTCTCTAGTGCTATTGGTGTTTTTGGGTCATGAGAACTTTCGTAATAAACAGGTGTTCGTAATCGAGGGGTTTGATCGTAAATTCCTTGTGATTTTGGTTCTGTGTTTGGATTCGAGTTACTAAAAACATTGCTTAACTTATAATTCGGCAACACGAGATGATAAAATTTGCAATCATTTAACATTTTGTCCTTACCTCACTATTTCTCACACAGTGAAGAAGAAAGATGGAAAATCCCTGCGGGTAGGAAAATAAGAAAGACTGTCACCAAAGTTTTCCAAAAAATGTACTTATATAATCCTTGGCCATCTTCAGTGAAATAACTTCGAGCTTTGCCATATCTTCTTTTAATTTCTTGACTTTGATTTGTGATTAAGTGTTTACTTTTTAAGCTAAAAAATAGGTCCGCAAAGGAGGGGGCGCGCATCTCACCTGAGTGGAATTGAAGATAACAAAAATGTAGGCGAATGCTTTGTGCGTTGACGATAATGCGCCGAATAACCACGTGACTCCAAGTAAGGGAATTAGCACCACGCACGCTCTGATTCCAAGCCTGCAAAATAAATAAGATATTCAATTAAATATACATAAATGTCGAAGATAAACAGACGAATTGTTGTTTCCAACGTCCCAACTTTTTTAGCCTAGCCCGTTATCAGTGGAATGACGATGGTGTTGTTGCAGTTAAGTCATTGTGTTGTCAATTAAAAACGAAGGGAACACAATAGAGCAGTTTCAGTAGTGATAATGTAATGACATGACCACTTAATGACCAAACAATGTTTTGTTCTCAAAAGGAATCTTTGCTTAATTCAAGCCGGGCGCGTAACAAATACAGTATATTACATGTACTTAAACATGCCTGTTAAAACAAGCAATAAAATCAGTGAGACCTTATCTGTTCTCCTTGGTTGTCCTTTGTTTGTTCCATTCTTGTCATTTCTCTTATAACTCTCACCAGAATCAACAAGTTTATCTGGAAAAAATTAACAGAGTTCAGAAAATATAAAACTTAAATTAGAATATCACAACACTGCCCACGTGATGGTGACTGAGGTAATCTTTGTCGTTAAAACAAATCCTTTAAACCATTTTCTTTGTTTTTCTTTTAGTGCGTTTTTGTGTCCCTTTTTTTTATCAGATTAAAAAAAAAATTACTGACTGAACTTACGATCTCAATTGCAAGAACAAACGAGATGAATATCCAGATCAATCCGTTAGAAGAAGAAATCCAGCAGCTAAAGCAAAACAAAATAAATTATAAAATCTTCCAGTGTGTGTGCGTGTTGGAAATGAAAAGGACAAACGTTAACTGATATATCTATTCTCATATACGAACATTCACTCAAGGAAAATGAAACTTCATTCGCACTAAAGAATATTGTTTTCGATAAACTGCCATAGAAATTGGCCTTATTTATGAAAAAATCCTTAATGACTATGCTACAAAATTAAATGTTTGCTCTCTTGGCGAAACTATTGATATAAATTTATTAAAATCAATAATATTTACACGTTTATACTACTACATGAGAAGTTTCTGCAATTTGATTGGCTTATATTAGAGCAGTGGTATTTCAGCTTAACTTGAAATACCTACATGTGAAAATTACAAACCTTTTGGGGGTAGTACTATAAACAAATAATAGCATGATTTGTATGTAATATTTGGCAAAAATACCACTCGTGATATTTCAAAGAGGTCTCAAATTTCACTCTCCTAACGGCTCGTGAAATAACGTACAACAATTTCCAAATATCACTCGTGGTATTTATGCCAAATATCACAACAAATCATGCCATTACCTATACAAATAAAAATTTATTTCCCCGTAACGAAGGGCAAATGGTGTATACGCGAGAAAGGGTATTGGTAGTTCACTCTTATAGGTAAACGAAAACGATGTATCTTTACGTATTCTACTTTTCAGCACTTCAGTTCTTACAATTCATCGCTAACAAAACTTGTGATTCCGTCCATTCCGGCAGCAACACTGAGCGATAAAGTGACCATTGCCGCAGGAAAGCCTGAAATAAAAGGTGTGGCGGGAGGAGTGCAATTATAAAATTTACATGAACATTCAAATTATTAATTCGGGTTTAACGCATAAACTCAAAAGTGCGAACAACACTCTACATACACTGAATAACAAGCATGAAACTTCAAACACACGCTGAAGTATTCGCGAGGATAATTGTCGCCAACTATAAGGTGAAACATCCATAACATTAGAACGTCATTTATGCAAAGGTCGTCAGAAAATGAGTTTCAGGGATTTATCAGGAACAAAATTTGAAATTTTGGGTCTGTCAATTTGGCTTCTTCGATAAAATTTAATTGAAACGTTGACGCTATTGTGTTCCTTTTTTTCGCCGTTACATTCAGCCTTTCGTCCTACACTAGTTTCATCCTCGTCTTTGCCCAAAATTTGAGAAATTAAAATGCAAATTTATCCCTTTACACTTACCCCATGAAATTCCGTGACAAATTTTCATCTTGCTGCTAACGTTGTAAACTTTGACAACAAACAAGTAAAGATAAATTCCCTCCATTAACATCCAACAGAAAGCCGCCATAAGGAAATATTGAATCAGGGCTGCTGCTGTTACACAGACGCCCTGAAAAGTACAACATATAGTCAAAACTCGCATACTGGAAGGACAATGTTATCACCTTGTACCTTTAGCTTCCAGGACGAAAAATTCTAGGAAAACACTCCGGAAAGCTTCAATACTTAGATTGACCAGGGTTCAATGTAACAAAACTTTTACAAGTGTAATTAATAAGCGTAGCCATTATTGTTTTAGAGTCTGAAAACAATAGCTACACTTGTAAAATACACTTGTAAAAGTTCTATTACATTGACCCCGGGTAATTTTTAACATCCCATCGTGCCCTATGTTTCCATTTCAGTAATAGTAGACGGAATCCACAAAATTAAAACGTCAGACATTTAAAGTACAGTATGTGGACTGAATTTGCCACTCTAGGGCCTTTTTACATGGAGGTGGGGGACCCCAAATAGGTGAGGTAACCCGCTTTGATGGAGAAACCCGCCTGTACATAAAATCTCTCATATTGATTTGATCACTCTTACAAGATAGGTGGGATGACCATATGAGAAATTTTATGGACAGTTGGGTTACCCCACCATAACAGGTTACCTCACCTACCTGGGGTCCCCCACCTCCATGTAAACAGGCCCTTAGAAACGAGAGGGAAAGTGGAGCAGATATGCTTCCTGGAATTATTTCTGGGATCCTTAATGGGGACTTAAAAATCCAACGACGCCCACGGCAACGAGAACGTCTCCTAAAAAGTAAATTTGCGTTCTTTCAGTCTTTATCGCGATTATTCCTACCTGCTTACTTTGTAAAATGTAGGCGAACCGTCCTGGATGAAGGTGAATTCCAAGGGACCATATCCAAGTTCAGAAAGAGAAATAAAATGTCGCCGTTGCTTGTTTATGTCCTACGATAAAACACGAAATTACGCATTTTCACGTCGTAGTCGTGCAAAAACGGCAAGAGAAATGTAAAAAAAGAGTGATGCACGTGCAAAATTGTTGTTTTGCTTTTTAAACCTATTGTTTTCTATGACGCACTCGTTGCGGTCGCGTTGTTTGATCTTTAAGTCCCTTATAACTACTGGGAACGCGCTGGTCAGATATTGGCGTTTTCTTTCCTGTTACTAGTAACAGTCTTTGCGAAAGTTAACTCGGCCTAATTCACTTCTCGTTGCTTAAGTGACGAATTGACCACTACAGAAAATGCCATAACATACCATAATACTTCTTGTTGGCCACTCCAAAATTTTGCATAAGCATTGTCTTCAGTTTTCCTTGGGAGTTAAAATGGCCCCACGACGGAAACTGAAAACAATGCTTATCCAACTTTTAGAGTGACTAACGAAGAGTATTATGGTACATTATGGTCTCTTCTGTAGTGGTCAATTTATGACCAGCGCCTAAACGAGTTCTCACCTTGTTTTCAGTTGCTCCAATGCCTGCGAGGAAGATTATTTGGCCCACTCCAAGGGAAGCGACAAGACTTATCCGGATTTGTGACAGTGGTGCTTTAATATCGCTGTGTAAAGATAAACAACTACATTGTCTACAACAAAACCACTCTAGGTGGGTCTAACAAAGGAATATCTCTAAATGTGTATTATAACAATGCAACGCAATAGAACGTCTGTCATTGACGTGACCAGCATCTATGCAAATTTATTGGAACAAAAGAAAGTGTTAACATAAGAAAAGACTTCAACTCCCACAAGACTGGTTTGGAACAGCATCATGGCCGCCTTTTAATAGTTTTTGTTGTTTTCTTTTTTAAGGTCTCTGTTACGTCATATCAACAACATATGAAAACGCTCTATACAAAACAAATTATCATACAATACAATACAATTCAATTCAATACCTAATATATCAAACATGAGATGCAGTGTTTCATCACCAGATGAAACACCGAGAAGAGAGTTGAAAATACGACGCGCAGCGGAGTATTTTTGACGAACTTCGAGGTGTTTCATCTGGTGATGAAACACTGTGTCGAATGTTTGATATTTCTTCTCAAACAAAATCATTTTTGAAGGAGAAATTAAGGATGCAAATACTAAGCAGTGTTTCATCCGATTTCCAAACACTCATTAAACATTAATTTCCTTTGTATTTTCTTAATGAATTATTAATGAGTTTGAGAAAGTAAAATACAATGCAATACAATACACTACCCTACAATGCAATGTCATACAATACAATACAAAGCATTAGAATAAAGTACAAGACAAGACAACCTAAGATAAGATATAATGAGGTAAGAAAAGATAAGATAAGAAAAAATTAAAGACTTAGAAGGGATAACGTTCAAAATTTGGGCTTAAGGAGTCGTGATGAAACATTTGATTATGCTTTTAAAGGATGTTAGATGTACTTACGTCAGAAATGCGTAGCAGATTATTGTCGCTATGATTCCGACTAAGGAAAGGGTAAGACCCAAGTAGGTCAGAATATTCAGCACCTTTTCATCTTTCTACATACAAAACAACCGGAAAACCATTTAATCTCAACCATACCAGACAGCTGCATGAATGGATGCCGGCCTTACATGCATGCAAACTAATTTTGTTCTCAAGAGCCCGACTTGCTTTCGAGCAGCTGGCACCCAGGCTAGTTTTTCTCAAAATTTCTTCTCAAAAACATTTTGAGCACTAGCTATAACCTCCTTTTTTTATAAGAGCTGTTCACCTTTTACTTAGACATTTGCAGGACAAACATAAGTGATATTCTCCGTCCCTACGCTTACGAGATTAGACCTCACAAATGCAGTGTCCTCAAAAACACGCTAAAAAAACACCACTGTTACACGATAAAACGATAATTTCCTAGGCACAACTATTTATTCTTAGGCTGCTCAACAGGCTTTATTGGAGGTGCTCAGGTGGGTTTTAAGGCACCAGTACGAGGCGTTAGACATGAGAGAGGAGGAGCCAATAGAAACCAACGGTTGCCAGATGAACGTTTGGAAGAGAGAGAACAATAACCTGTCTACAGGCGTTATTTTTCTCTTTTCCTCCCTCTCTCTTGTCTTGAACTCAGGTTTGCTCCCCGAAACCTGCCTGAGTGACCCCAATAACTCATGTTGTATAACAACATGATTAATCGACTAGACAACCTAAACGCAGGGTCTGGAAGGATACTGCCGGGATCCGGGATCTTAACAAAATACAGTGCGGGATTTGGGAAAACGTTGATAGGATTCGGTATTTGACGGGAATCGGGTAGTTAGAAAGTAGTGGATGTAAACCCTGATGGAGTGGCCAGGCCTTCCTCAGTGTCTGGAAGGGTATTCCCGGGAAATAGGATCCGTTGTGAGCAAAATACAGCGCGGAATTCGGGAATACGTTGACGGGACACGGAATGTAACTGCCACTCGAGAAGAAAGACGGATGCGAGTTTGAAAAAAAAAAAATGATATTCGAAATAGCGATGAAAAAAGTTTGGGATGCACGTTCAGGACCCTCCTTTCCAGACCCTACAAACTTACTTTTGTTCTTTCTGTCCTGTGCCCTACCTTTTGCAGTCTACTGCTCTGGCCAGTTTTCAGTTCAGAATCTGTGTCAAACTGCATTAGAACTGCAAAGTGAGTTAAGTGATTGCAGCTGCATTCTGTCCTGGAGTCATTCAACCATTTGACATGACATCCTTGCCCTGACCAACCTACAGGGCTTCACGAAGAATAAAATAAGTCATCAGCACAAGCAGGCAACGTTTTTATTTCTAAGAGTAAAAACTGTATTCCAGCTGATAAGCAGCTTTCAACCTTGTGGTTCATTTTCAAAGCCCGGGACTGGGTTTGAAAATGCTCCAACCAAAAGGAGACGGAGTACTTTGATATTCCAACTTCCAATATTGGATCCGCTGTTAAAATTCGCCCTCCCCAGTTACACCATTTATTCAATTACTCTTCCACCCTTCCTCGAGCTTCAAAGGGTTATGCGATATACGTGTTTCTAGTTCCTAACTGAGACAGTTCACTAGCTAACTAAAGGGTGGAACACAACAATCCCATGTCATGTCATATCATCTTATCCTGTCCTACCTAGCTCTACGTTATCAAATTACGGCTGTAACTAAAGCTGTGACAAAATTTGCGGGATAGATAACTTTGCAGGTGGCGTGGACAATTGTTGGCAAGCTTTCAGAAGAACTCGGAAATAAATCCCCTCCGAGCAAAAGCTGGATTTGTTTCTCGGCCACCCCGCGTTCAATTCCTCGGCCGTGCTTGTATACAGCACACTGGTTGCTTCTCGACAGACCTAGCAGCTAGGGCCTTTAATCCTTTTAGTTCTATTTAACTTGTGGCCTGAGAAAACAGCCCATATTTGGCGACGCTTCCTGGTTTCCCCGCAAAATGACATCTGAGAAACGAGCGCAGAAATTCCATACTGATGACGCGCGTCACTGCCCAGATCTGGGTAGCGCTTCTGATTGGTTGAATCAAATTTCCCACGCGGCACGACCAATCAGAAGCACTACCCAGTTCTGGGTAGTGACGCGTCATCAGTATGGAATTTCTGCGCTTGTTTCTCAGACGTCATTTGGCGGGTAAACCAGTGGTAGCGTCGCCAAATGTAGGCTGTTTTCTCAGGCTATTTAACTTGAATTGTTTGCCGTTTCTTCGTATTTGGGTATACCGTCTTTAAAATAGATGAGGTGCCTTTGCACAGTAATCAAACCATTTAAGACTTCCCATCTACTTCTTCTCCAAAGTATATGTTTAAGCCATATGCCAGATCTATAAGATTCGGTGAACTTCACCGCTAAGTCGGCACTTGTTACGCTACAGTGGCTTACGAAGATTTGAATTTCGCGGTCGATGATCTGGCTACACATCGGTAATCGCAACCTTTGTTTCCCGAATAATAGAGGCACTTTTCTTTAAACAATAAAAAAGACCTTAAAAGGACCAAAAACCCCTGTCATTGTTAACCCAATCCAAAGTTTGATACGAATAGGCATGCGCCACTTTAGAAACGAGAAGAAAACTGGAGCGGAAATGTATCCCGCAATTGTTTCTGGGATTGTTGTTGGAGACGCACAAGTCAGCTATTGGCCAATTTTTTTCCCCTGTTTGAAGAACAGTCCCAGAAGTCTTTGCTAAAAGTTAGCTCGTCCCAGTTTCTTTCTCTTTCTAAAGTGGCAAATTTTCTTTTATACAATTGTGCCGTCGACACCTGCTGTTCAATTTACCTGTCTTCCAAAAAGTTCCAAAATACACACTCTCTTTTCCTTGTTGCCTTCTAAAATCGAAAATGAAACGAACCTTGTTATGATTTTCAGTACATCTCAGTTTAGCTCGTCAAAAAGTGGCATCAGGTTTTAAAATACTGGATATTCCTCTAAGACTGAAGAAGTTAATGTGATGAAGTACCAACAAGAGGGGTTTTGTTGAGTTATACGAGTCTGAGAATTTGTTAGGGTAAGTCCAGAGCAAAAATACGTATTGGCTTAAGGATTTATTTAATTAATGGCCCTGTCAGTACGTATTGTCAGTAACTATCCTGTAGTTATCCAGGTATCCGAATAATTAGATAACCTAGGAAGTTTCTAGTTTAGGAAAAGCTTACCATTACGTTCGAGAACACAAGTGTGACGTTTCGCTGCAACGTTGAAGGATGAGGATCAATTGTTGCTGACATGATCATGGTGTTGAGACTCTTGCTGAAAAGCAGAGGAAATAAGAACACTTAAAATTAAAGTCACTGCAGAAATCCACTTTTTCTAAATAGCATAAAGAGAGATTATTATAGGTCCATAGGCGAAAAACGTTAAGACCTGGTATCTCTCCCTAGGCCATGATGTAGCACTGAAAGTTGATGGTTGAGAATATGCGGACTAAAAAAACATTCTGTAACACGGATTCCATTTTAATGCTGGTTTGTATGTAGATTAGGGTAGAGAATAGTGTCCTTTCGTAACGAAAACCTCACTTTGCAACAGAGTTTGGACAGAAAATGTGCACAAACATGTCAATTCTTTAAAGACTTCAAAAAACCTACAGTTAAAACTCTTCGAACAAGAAGAACGTACGACAGTGGACCCCGACATTAAACATTTTGCAGCTAGCTAAAGTGTTCCGAAACCTAGTTAGACTAGCTAGTACTTACCTTGTTTTGTCAACCATTGTATTCGTTTGGTTTACGAGAAACAGTTTTTGGAGTCTTTTATAGATGACACCTAGAAAAATTGAACCTGAAAAAAAAAAGATCCATACTTACGTGATAACGGCAAAAGCACGGCTTTAAACATGTTGAAACTGTTTTCTCAATTTTCTCCTTAAGTTATCTGGGCAAAATCATAAAAAAAGGTTAAGTAAAAACTGAACTGATTCTGTAAGGAAATGTATGAAGATCAGTTTAAGGGATTTGTATATCAACATGGCGGGTAGCACAAGAGTAAATATCTCCACCGGGACGAAAACAGACGCTGTTATAGTAGAAATCGGCTGTGAAGCGTTTTCTCCCACATGGACGGCGGCTGTTTTAGTTAGTACTGGGATAACGAATTTGCTTGCATACCGTTACGACTGAAATCTTCTGAAGGAATTTTGATGTAGTTTTGTCCTTCTGGTTCAAAGAGATCAAATTGGCTACCGTTGTCGTAGACTCCTTTTCTGACCTGTAAAGCTATTATACAATAACTTTAGTAAATAGCAGAGAATTTATGCATTTGAAATTATTCTTACTGTTAAACTCCTTTTTCGAAACCTTCACCGTAGTTTTAACCCTGCAATTACAACTACATAATTTGCTCTTTTCACTCATGACCACCCCAGGGGAGTAAAAGCGATTCGGGTGCAAAAGTTAAGAGTTTATTCATAAACACCATAAGGAGCACCAGAATCTTTAATTTATGACGTAAATCAGACGAACGCTTAAGCCCCTTCACTTTTCATATGGAAGTCCTCCAGTGAATTAAGACGGTAAAGGGCCCCTTTTTTTTCTTGCCCCGAAATTCTTTAGACAGTATATAGTACAGCTAGCTTTTTTCGCTGGCTCACGCTGGCGGTTCAATAGCCAAAATTTTCCCAGAACTCCCACAAGTGAGCCTGAGCCCATTCTCCGTCGATTGCGACCGTTCCTTGTGTCGTCACGCATTTCCTCTACCCCTGGATAGTGAGTTTATACCAGATCCATTGGTCTAAAAGCCCTTAGACACCTTATGAAGTTTACATGATGAGGTATTTCTTACATCTCTACAAAGGCAATCAATGGTTACTATGTAACCTGGCTAGGTAGCACTGAGTTTTTTCCCCTTCCCAACAAGGTTCCACGCTCGCACACAGACTCCTTAAAAACCAATCGCCCCCTATTTCTTATCTAATCTCCAAGCAAGCTCGAGTTAACGATTTTTTAGAGTGTCTTGTTTCCTAAAGATTGCATTTCTTCTTTGTCAATGAGAATTTTTCATGAATGTTTTTATCACAATATTACCGATGGTTTCATATTCTATTTTCCCTTACTGTGATGACCTAGTCGAAACCATTAATCAATCTTCTTCACTATACATGTACATGCTTTTGGAGTGTAACTTGTAAATGGCAAGACAACGAAATGTAAGTTTTTAGAAGTCACAGAACATTTAAAATATTGACCTTTTTCACTCAGGTAGTCAGTAGCTATGCAAATATCTTGGAACAAAGAAATTAAAAGTTTCTACTTGAGAAGAGACTTTAGTCCCCAAAGGATTATCTTGTTACACCAACATGGTCGCTATTTCATTGTTTTGTACACCAACGTGATGTTCTCCGTAATGTCAGGGGGAAATTATCGATACTAAATACTTACCTATATTTTGGTTGTTCACTGAGAAATGTGCTGTATTGTTGACGAGGTGATACTGACCAAATCTTAATGCAAATTCCTCGAAAAAGATAGTAGCCGTCAGCACTTCCTCCATCTTTTGTTCCACTGTTTTATTCAGACTTCTAACGCCAACTAATGTACGATTGGCGTATTCTTTCATATTATCGTCGAAAACCTTAACAGCTTCCTAAGTAAAGGAACCGCAAAAATAGCCAAGGATTCAGTCTTCGGAAATATATCATTATCGGGGTTAGTCTTTTCAGGAGGTCTCTAGGTGGCAGATCCCGGGGAAGGGTAGGTCCAGACCCTCTCTAATCACATCTATCTGATCAGATGACACTCTAAAGTACTCATGCTTTCTGAGTAAGAGACTTACAAAAATACCATATGGAAAGAGAAATAAAATTATTATACAATAATTTTCAATTACCTGCAAAGAGTCGTTCTTTAGAAAGTCAAGTTTATTGATTGCATTTGTCATCTAGGAAAGTAAAACCAAACGCCCGTATTAATCGGAAATGCATGACTAAAAAGTAAGAATTTGAGGAAACATTCAAACCTTCGGAAAAACCGCTAAACTTCTCCAAGCTAATTTTTGATAGTTTTATGCAGTGCCCTTAGTATTGTTTAAACTGAGTCAGATATTATTAAATAAAGTGATTGTAAGTCTTTTCTACGTAAAATTAATAATGGTAATTGAACTGAGTGGAGTGCAATTTGGTCTGAAATCATACGCGTGATTTCGAAATCGAACGAGCGCGCAGCGCGAGTTCGATTTGAAATCACAAGTACGATTTCAGACCAAAATTGCACGACACGAAGTTCAATTACCACTTTATTACATCCATTTTGAAATCACTCATTTTTTTTAAATCTGCATTTATTGGAATTTATTGGTCCAAAAGGCTGGTTCGTAAAAAGCGGAACCGGAAACGCGTTTACATGTACTTGCCATGTCAACAAAACAAAATGACAGATGTCACTTTACAAAAAACCCATTGGAGCGCAAAAACTTCATTCGTGCAAATGTTCAAGCAGTTCTAAAATCTTGTCGCTGCAAAAATAGTCTTCTTCAAAGTTTAATCCTCGTCGTCTGACTCAATAATATAAGCCCTTCGCTTCTTCTGCGGTTGTGGCTGAGGCATCGCGTTTTCTTGGGAGAAAAAATTGAAAGTACAGCCGGTGTAATTCTGCGATGAAGCAGCAGTATTACCAGCACACGTCAACGCTGCCATGCGGTACTGAAACTGTGAGGGACAACTTGGCGGAAATCCTGCAAAACCAGCAGCCTGAAAATCAGGATTCAGGAATTCTATGGCCTGGTGCTTTTGACCTTGCTGTTGGGCGCGATTAATAGGAACCAGTGGTGCTCGTTGGTGTAGGACTGGCTGTTGGACTGTGTTTTGAATTGTTGGTGCCTTTGCAGCTGTACTGTTTTGATTGGAAACGTCGTTGGGACCGTTTTCATTTGGCACTACTTTAAATCCGCTAATTATGTGAGACAGTTCTTTCCGTTGATTCTCGTCTATTTCGTCGTAGTCGTCCAACGAAGATTCACGTGCATGGCCTGTTATTTCACAAATAACGTTGCGCGGCTGACCAGACTTTTTCAATTTGGACACCAACGTTTTTCTCATGCTGTGGTTGGTCAGTTTTTTGTTCGTCTTAAGACAGGAGGCCATGGATTTCATGATGTTGCCGATGGTATTTTCGCCCATTCTAATTTTGGTGTACCAGATATCATTTGATTTGGGACGATTTATAACGCTCAGGTACAGTGGCCCTTTATCTTTCATTCCGTCGGGTCGCTTGGATAACCAAAGCTTGAAAAGGCGCACTGGATCAGTTTTTCCGCCATCGGTGGAATACATAGCTTGTGGTGTTGTTCTTCGCGATATTGTTAGACCACCGCTTCGTGTTTTAGTGGGACCTTCACGGAATTCTACAACTTCGCTGCCGTCTTCTTGTTGTCTTATAACGAAGTCCTCTACGTAGGCGTCATAGTGCTCCTGGCGACCTCTGAATCCAAGTTGCTCAGTCAAGTTTTTGAAGTTAACATTGGTCAAGACTTTTCCGTTAAAATCACCAAGCTGACCTTTTAGCCAGAGGGAAGACTCTTCCTCCGAAGTGAGAGGCTGAGATTTGTTTGGTCTTTTCCCCTTTCCTTGTTGTCGCAGAGAAATTGCCTTCGCGTGGAGGATTTCTTGTGAGTTGTGAAACTCCCTCGATCGTACGATGCTCAGTGGATAATTCTTCTCCTTTAAATACCTTTCAATGGCACTCTGCATGATTTTAAGGCATTCCGGCTCGTAATCATCTCCGTCCCTTTTTTTTACTTCGGCGTAGAACTTGCTCAGGATGTTGTCAAGCTCTTCCGGCGCCATTGTTTCTATGTTTACATTTTCTAGATGACGAGACTGGCACCAACTTTTGAATACATTCATCCACTGTTTTGTCGAGCGGGAGGTATTTTTGTTGACGGCAACAGCCTTGAGCTCTTCAATTTCTTCGCTTGAGATTTCAGGGAACCTTGTAGAATCTACATTTTGTACTTTCTGAGTTGGCTCTGGATTTGTCTCTTTGTTGCTGGACTCGGGATCGCACGCATCCGGAGCGGATGTGGAGGAAAAATTATCAAAATATTCGTCAAACTGGACACTGAATGTCGGAAACTCCCCTAAAAGTACTTCTTCAGCCTCAAGGAGCTCACTATCATCATTAAGAAACTGTAAGTAATTAAATTCGTCCATTTTTGCCTTTGTAAAAAGAAAGTTTTGGCAACAAAAAACTTGCACAAAGTTTGCCACACAATATTGCCTTTATTTGTTTTTTGTTTTCCTGCAATTTGATTGGTTACTGTGAATGATCCTTGAAATCTTATTGGTTGTTTTGTTTAAGTGCTACTTTCTCATTGGTTGAAAAAAAGATGCAATTTAGAGCACAAAATAGTGCGATTCGTGAATAAATCACATCACTCTGAGCCAATCAGATTGCAAGGATCACCTGTGATTTCCAAATGAATGTAATAAATGTTAAAGAAAGTGACAATCATTAAAAATATAGACGTCCTCTAAAATGATTGGGGTCCGACCTAGCACAGATCTTAAGTAACAATTGTGTAAAAAATGTTCTAGCTGGAAAAGTTTGTTTGAAATTTTTGGTGACACCATTTTCCAACAGAGTTACGTAACTTAAGTGGCCAGGATAGCGGAACATCCAAATTTTCTGCGCCCTAAACACCTAGCAACTTGCGTTTGCGCAAAACTCTGACAGAATGACGTCAGGCATAGGGGTCCAAGCTGCAAAACATGTTACAAAATGGCGACTAACTGTGACGTATTTTTAAAATATTTGGAGGAGAATTTTACTGTGATAGCATGGGATCTTAGAGAAAGACCGGTAATAAAACACATTGACAGCTTTTCAACAGTGAAAGACGTTAGAATAATCTTTACTAAAATAGACCTTTAAATTGGTTTGTTTTGGTACCTCTTTGATTAAGTCGTACTCAGTCTCGTCGTCCATATCATCAATGTCTGGTTCCATCACGGCTAAAAAGGCGAAGAAAAGGTGACATCTTTAAGATAAAATAAAGCTGTTATATCTAAATGAGTATTCAATTTCTACTTCTGAAACCCATTTTTTTGAAAAAGAGCCTACTGACTATTAAAGAATAAATAGGCTCCTATCAAAAAAAGGAGCAATGATTTCACAAAAACTGTTGCAGATAAAATGTTCATCTTTGTTTTGACCAGATTCGACTGAGGGAAATCATCATCAATGCAGTTCTAATCACTTACAAAAGTAGGAGCCCAGCTCTGGTAGGAGCCTAAAGCTACGTGCAAAGGGATCCAACAAACCCTAACATTGTGGGGCCAACAATGTTAAGAGTTGTTGCGTCCGTGTTGGCAAACAATATTGGGACCTGCAGTGCATCGTGGAAAGAATACAAACCATAAGACTTTGTAAACCATGTGTAATGCAAGTGAGTGGCCCCAACAATGTCTGAAGAGCTGTAAAAACGGATCCAACATTGTTGCACTACGCCTCGGAACAAAATGTTGGGAGTTGTTGGCTCAAACATTTGACGGTTTCAAACTTTGCCCAACAACTCCTTACAGCACGCAACAACATGAGTTTTTTATTTAAAAAATCATAACCAAAATCAGATACGTACCGCTTTCGTTGTACCTCCCACCAGAGTCACAACGGATAATGTTAACACTGAAACTGTAGTGAGGGTATGGACAATATTTGACTTGTATTCTTGTAGCAGGTAAATAAGTGCCTATTTCAAAAGTAAACGACCGCTGTCTTGATCGATATAAGAAGAGACTCCTATAGAAATAAAAGTCTTTCCGACATCTTGTTTTTATTATCGGCAACTGCAAACACGTTAAAAATGATTTACACCAATCTTCCACTGTTAAGTCGACCATCAACCAGGTGCCGTTTGTACCATTTTTAAGTTTAGCGCACCTTACGTCTGAGCTAAGAGAGCCAAAATATTCGTGCGCTGAACATGGTGAGCCTACATAAAAGACAAAATTGAAAGTAAATCTTTAATAGATGAGGGGAGTATCGCGAGGCCCCCGAGAGATTACGGAGAGATTACTCCCTATCCTACAATGGCCTATAAAGGGAAACTCCGCCCGAAAGTGGTGCTTTTCAGGCTTCAGGTCTATTGAAGTATGTGAAAGCAAGGGTAGGTAAATATGTCATTTTGGTCTATAAAAAGTTCAGAATGGCTTATAATGCATTTTTTGGTTGTGAAAAAGTGGAGAAAGCGTTATGGTTTTGTGACTTTTTCATATTTTAAAGGACAGACTGAGTGTATTTACAGCAATTAAAAGAGATGGAAAGTTCTAAACAAGGTATGAGAAAGGTGTACCATCTGTCAATAGAATGTATACGAAAGGGGTAACTTTTCTGTGTAAAAAGGTATACAAAAGGGTAATGGGTTGGACCCCGGGGAGGAGTCTCCCACCCCGTTTAAAACTTTTTGGATTTCCCCTCTACCCCTGGCTCGAGTCCTATTCCTCGATAACCGAATCATGACCGAGGCGCTAATTACAATTTTTTTTGAAACCTAGATATGAAAAATACAGATAGACAATGTACTAGATAACTTGTATATGGTAGTACGTAGGAGCCCGTGACTGGGGTGGAAAACTACAGAATGATCTAGAAAATTTACGAGATAATTTATGTTATACACACAAAAAAACTTGGAACACTGAGATCTTCAAAACTCAATTGACCAACGTCAATACCTACAGCAGAATTTAGCCCCCTTCCCCCCCTCCCCCTAAGAAAAAAACAATGATGGAAGCAAGATGCTTTTGAAGCCTCTATATAACGGCCCTGTATATGGCGGTTACCCCGTATATTACGGTCACCTTGCCATTCCCCAAGGGTGACCGTTGTACACAGGTTTGACTGTAAACTCTAAAGTTTGTAAGGTTCATTTCCCGGAGCGTCCTGGAGGATTACCTCACCCTTATCACCTCATAACACATACAATGTTTTATTTCTGCGTACGTACCCCTCTGAGCGGTTTTTGATGCGCATCGATATCCTGTTGCCTTGATTTTGAATCTAGGTAGAGATCTTTTCCAGCCGCAGTTTTTAATATAAATGTTCCTCACGTTCGAGACATTAACATCTTTTGTAGCAGTGGAGATGTCAAAATTGGACCATCGAAACCAATAAAACTTCTTATAGCAAAGCGTCTTCCAATCTGAAGTCTCGTTAAAGCACAAAGCTATGAGAGAACACCAGTTCCACAGGCAACTGCGTATTTCTGAGTCTTTTTTGTAGTACCAGTAATTGTAATAGTAAAGGTAATAGTAATAGTCATAATCATAGTAAGGAACAGGACATTTTATGGTGTAATAAGGACCAGACGTTCCATTGACAAGTGATTGACAGTTTCCTTTTTCAAGTTCTTCGGATTGCAACAGTTTGGCGTTTTGCAAGCAATGCCCTCCTATGACAACAAGAAAAACCAAATAAAATTTAACGGATGTTACTAAAACAGGGAACGGTGAGCGGGAACGAGCACGAGGAACGGGAAAATGAAAAATGGGAGCAAAAAAAATTGGAAATGAAAGATTCGCGTTCAAATTTGGTTTTGTTCCCATTTTTCATTTTTCCCGTTCCCCAGTGCTCGTTCCCCGTTTTAGTAACATTCAAACTTAACACCCAGAACCTTAAATCAACTTTTAACAGGGCTTTTTTGTTTTTTGTTTTGTTTTGTTTTTGTTTTTTTTTTTCTAGAGCTAATCTTTACGCTGTATCTACCCGAGCAGCCTCTACCTTAGGCAAGAGAGAATGATCTAAGCTTAGCTCATTCTCTCTTGCCTTAGGCGCTTCGTTTTTAGCACTGCACAGAGGCGAGCGCGAAACGCTTGTGAGTGGTAACGAAGCGTAAAAGACTATGGGAAGGAGTCTCGCCCGTTTTTTCCTTCCTGCCTTCCGTTGCACGCAAATTCTCATCAAGAGAGAGACGTCTGGGTACGAAGCAGCTGCCCGTGCAAGATTTTATTCAAACCTATACCCCCACTGTGTTCACAATGAAACCGCAAATAAATTTGCAGAACATTGGCCAAGGAATTAATTAGCAGCTGCTGAAGGAAAGAGTTTCTGAATTAAAAGTGTTTTTAAAACAAATCGGACAAAAGCCTTGGATCGAAGAAGGGCATTCCCAATCAGCCAGCTGCCTCCTTTCTCTAGAACGTTCGAGTTTATTTTGTTGTTGGTTTTGTTGTTGTTGTTTGTTGTCGTTGTGTTGGAACAACTTACGCCAAACGCCAGAAAAAAGTATTAAGCCTGATACTTTATGTGCCCAATAGTCCTCCCTTTTTAGGTTACAATTTGATCGATTGGAAACAGCTACGTGCAGACAGGATTAACATCAATTCCTTGTAAGGTCTCCAATTTGGTTTTAATGTTTTAAACAAGTGCCAGCATTAAGATTACGAAAAGAGCCGCGTCGTTTGTTTAATTTTAATATCTTATTCAAATTAATTGTTTGCCTCGGGAAAAATTTTCTAATTTCTGTCTTTATGCTGATTGCAAAGTCTGAGAAATAATTGTTCGCTCGACAATTATGCCATGGAAATATGCACAAATAAAACTACCGAAACTTATTAATTCTACTATATTTAAAAACCATTTTTTTCTTAAAGCTAAAAGTAATGACCAATATAGAGCTTGTCGGTTCTATACTGTAAAACAAAGATGTGGAGGAAAAAGGTTAATATCAGGTTTCTTTCGATAACATTCGGCGGTTCGAGATATTAGAACTCTCGAACTCTTTTTAATTTAAATTAAACTTCTGACGTGAGGGTGATGATGCATTTTTTGAGGGGTAGATATGGTTAATTACTCTGGCCACCTGCTGGCACAAAAAGAGAGAGTGGATAACTTACCTTCTACAGCACTTCCGAACGAAAGAACTGCGAAGTATATGTAATAAGAGAAATACACATGATTTAATTAAAAAAGTTGTCCTTAAATTTGGCAGTAATAAATTATTGTTGTAAGATCTTACAAACGGAAAGTTCAGAAAGTCACAGAATTCGCATGGGAATCAGATGCAGAAATGCGATGCTAAAGGGCCAAAGAAGATTGAAGATATTTCTTCAATTAGCGGCGTCGTCTCTGCAGGTTAGTTTGAAAATTTCGACGCTAGCACGTATGAAAGTCAGAATGAAAATAACCTTTTAACTGCTTCTTTGATTGTTATCAATGACATAGTCAACAGCGGGGTGTTATAAACCACTCTTATCTTGAAGGACACTGGGTTTAGTAATATTTTGTTTCGCTGTTTCATAATTCCTCCAGTAATTTGAAACTTTCTTTAATTTCAAGTCAAGAATGTTGGAAAATAAAATATTAATTAAAAAAGCGTGGGTAAGAAATACTTTTTATTACAAATGCCATGCAAAAAGAAGCAGTACATATTCACAATGAGAAAAAAAGAATAAAGTTTGCAACGCTTTTTTGAAGAAGTGTCGCACTGGTAATTCAAGGTTAGAAGTTACCAAAAACTACTGAATGTAAAATTATTGCATCATACTCACTCAAAACAAGCCCAATGATTATTATTCCATTTGCAGTTTTATCGTCAAGGTAGGATAGATTCAGCTCAGATTTTTTCGTACGTGGATTCATCATTGAACCTAGGTGGATTTAACCTTTTGAACGAGAAAGGTTAGAAATTTTCTTCTTTCCTTGATTAATTGATTCGAGGTGTTAATAACAGAGCCAACTGTTAAGTAGCCCTGTCTTCGCCAGTACTTGCCTTCCGTATCACCCAGATGGCAATCAAGTTATTATCTTGTCATGCCTCTATGATGAATTTGCCAGCTATTGTTATGGAAACCATGTTAAAAGGAAAATAAAATAATTAAGTACCGTACCAAATATGGTTGTGGCTCCCTAAAATGGTTCCTATAGTCTAACATATACATTTAAATGAGAAATTAAAAAGCCATATCAGTTGAATATTTCTCCAAAAAGCCTAATTTACTAAATTACACCTTGGTTCGTAGCATTTTGTTAGTTTTCATTTCAATTGTTCTCAGTTATAGTAAGAAAAACCACGACAAAAAATTAAGTTGTGTTATTTATTTCCCAGGGTTCGTGGCAGGTGTGATTGAAGTACCTGTGTGATGTGAATGATTAACGCTGGCTGTAGAGAGAAGAAGAAAAATAAATATACTGCTGTTGGAAACGCCTTACTGCCTGATGCAGTATTGAGAATTCTTGTGTGAATGACAAAATCAACGATTTCAGCAAGAGAATTGAAGAAGCAAACGTTGAAAGCAGTTTACATGAGTAAATAAATAAATGGTCCAAAAAGGTTTTCAAAGAAAAGGTGATGCCAATATAAGTTAAAGAAAAGAAAAAATCACTTTCACTGTAAAGTTTACAAAATGATGGTCAGTAGACGTGGAAAGAAGCCATTTAAAAAGCATGAAAATCTTGAGTTATGATCATTAACAAACTTTAATAATCAGCGAACGACCTAAAAAGTAAAGACGAATTTAATAGAACAACTTAAACAGATTTCATTCAGTTTCATTTCTCAAAACTGTTTTTTGTTTACTTTAAGACAAAATCCATTAGGAAATTGAGTAATTTAAATTTTCAGTGGACAAAAACCTTTTACCAGAATAATTTCAAACATATTGCATTCTTTTTCACACTTATAACTCCGAAAAAAAGGTTCTTATTGGAGCCCTCTGAAAATTAAATTATTCAATTTCTTAATGGATTCTATCTTAACACTTTTAGCTGGTGGCAATAGGCCCGGAGATGAAAGCGGGGGTTTTAACAAATTTATTAAAGAACCGAAGAAATATTATTTTCCCATGCTTTCAGTCTAAATATAGTTTTAGAAAGTAACTTCCGAGCAATGAGCGCTCGAGAATTTCAAGATTTATTGTAATTATTGTAAAACTGTATGTTGTCGCAAAGCAGTGTATATAGCCCTCATGTAAGGTAAATCGGTTTCGGGAATCTGAGAAATTTTGACTGTGAAATCTGGAATCCTGGGCTTTGGAATCCGGAATCCTGCTCACAATTGAGATCCGGAGTCCAAGTTTCACTACGATAGAATCGGGAATTCAGTAGCTTTAATTCGGAATTCACCGAGTGGGATCCAGAATCCAAGACTGTTTTCATGTTTTCGATTACCTTTCATTAGGCGAAAAGAAGTATTTTGCTTCAATGAGCCACAGTTGTTTAATTCTTTTCAACAGTTCCTACCTAAAAAAAATAACTTATAGATTTAGCTAGGGCTAAAAGCGAAGCTCTGGTTAATAATACACGTAAACAAAAAAAAATTAAATCGTGTAATGCTAAACGGGGTCGACAATGAAAATGGCTTCAAGACTAATACATCTAATTAGCAAAAAAACAAATTGCACGTGCAGCACACTTTTTCTTCTAATTAGCAAAAAACAAATTTGCACGTGCAGCACGCTTTTTGTCTTTCCCTTGCCGTTGTTTTGCAAGACTACAACGTTGTTTTGTACGACTAAAACGTCAAACTTCTTAGTTACACATTATTTTTATGAAGGAATTGTCGTATGTGCTTACCCAATATTTTGTTTCCTGTTTTCATGTTCGCTTTTTTTTTTCACTGCCGCTCATTTTCACCTTGCTGGCCGCTAGCATTTCTCATTTACTCACCACCGCTTTGAATTTCCATGTTTTTCTTCCTACGAAATTCGTATCCTTTGTTTTCAATAACTCGCTCTAGCTCTTTCTCTGTTATCCACGTTAGTGTAAACATAAAAAATAACGCCGAAAAAGACACGACTTTGTTGTTGCTTTTTCTTTCTAAAAGTCTGGGCGGCCATGTGATTTCCTTCCAAATAATTATAAAAAACCTTGAGTTGCATTTGCGTTGCCATACCTGTTGATTGAGTTATTTTACATTGGTCTGCCTGTGGTGCGGACGGACGGTCGCTCGCTCGGTGTATGGTCACGTGATTGCCAAATTTTCTCGGATGGATAGATTACCACATTTCTATAGCCATGGGGCTCCGCGAAAAGCGCCTCGAGTGGAGCTCCGCTATGAATTTTCATTAAACGTTTTAATTCAACGAACGATTATTGGTACAATGTTCTTTCAAGTAGCTGCAGCGGTCTTTCTTTGCTATGATAAACGCTTGCTAAAAAAGTTAATATTCATTTTAAGATAACTCAAACTTGTTACTTACAGTGTATTTTATTATAATAACTAGCGTTTGCGGTTGCAATTTGCTTAAGCCAACGACAATTGGATGATTTAACCTACCACAAACTCTGAATCGAAATTCAAGTCAAATTCTATATATTGCAGAAGTGAATCCTAACTGACTTTTGGCGCATTTTTTTTTGTAATCTTCAGCTAATTTAGATCCACTAAGTTGTTTGATCAGCTCTGTAAATATTTGTATTACAAATATTGCCGTGCAAGTATTTGGAGAGTGTATTAAGTAAATGTTTGGATTTTGGTAACTCAATGTCAAACTGACAAAAATGCTTCAAACATTGTGTTCCATGGAAGATTACATTTTGATCAAACCCGCAATTCATTGTAACCTTCTGAGATTTATCCACAATCCGTTTGGTAAGTGTACAGGCTGCTTACCATCTACAGAAATTCGGTTAAATTCAAAATCTCATCCGACATCAGCCAACAATTGGCCTTATTCAACACCTACATAATGTAGCCAGACCAGCCGTAAATATTACTATTAATAATAATAATAATAAAAGGATTCGAGAGAGAGAGACGACCATATTTTTCTGAAGCGGATCGAGTAGTTTCCCCGTGTCTCAAATCAGGTAAGCACCCTTACTCTGATAGTTATACCAAGAGACTATAAAGGGGACAGAGAGGGCATACCCCATATACACCCTATTCCATAGGTAATTCGTCTCGAGTTATTTTTAGAACCGCAGATCCCAAGGGGGATTGGACAACAGCCAATCACATAGCGCGAATGTATTCCGCGTGGACGACCCACGCTAGAGCCACGCCTCCTCCACGAATTGACGCGGAAGAAAATGGGGGAAGACGCGGAGAACGATTTTGCTATTCCTTTTGTCGACGAAAACGACTACAGCGAGATTTCTGCGAAAGCTGTGTCAGCGAAACGGAAATTAAAAAAGAATCGCTCTTCCTCTCTTCAGCAGGGAAATCCTTAACACACTGAATATTCTCTCAGGATCATTTATAATTTACAGTTTGAAGAGAGCAATTCCTGGTTTGATATTTATTCCTTTATTAGTCTTTTATTATTCAACAAAAATAACACTTGGCGTCCTACTTGCCTTATTAGGGACTTTAAGATCCAACGGCGCGACGGCGACAAGAACGTCGCTTAAAAAGTGAATTTGAGTTTTTTCAGTCTTTATAGCGATTATTCCTACCCACTTACTTTGTCAATTGTAGGCGAACCCTCCTGAAGCTGAATTTCAAGGGACCATATTCAAGCTCAGAAAGAGAAATAAAATTTCGTCGTTGCTTGTTTACGTCCTCCATAAAACGCGAAATTAGGCATTTTCACGTCGTAGTCGTGCAAAAACAGGAAAGAAATGAACAAAAAAGTGTGTTGCACGTGCGAAGTTGTTGTTTTGCTAATTAAACCTATTGTTTTTTTGACGTTCTAGTTGTCGTCCGCGTCGTTGGATCTTAAACTCCCTAAATTGTACAAACGACCGGTTTCAATAGACCGGCGAAATTTCTCATTTTATTAAAGCACTGAGGTTACGACAACTTCGAGTTAAACTGATTTCACGGGTTGTCAAAGAGTCCAGCGATTCCTTTTTCCCAGGTGAGCGCCGACTCATTTCGCTTCAATATTCAGGAATGCTCTCGATCTTTTTACGCTTTCATTGCCTCTCGCCCGACATGTTTTGCACGGCGTTTGGTCATGCGAAACCTCCACGAAACATCCACGCCTCGCGCGAGGTAACTTTATCCCGATTCTAAAAATAACTCGAGACGAATTACCTATGGAAGAGGGTGTATATGGGGGATGCCCTCTCTGTCCCCTTTATAGTCTCTTGGTTATACCTATGTATTTCATATCTGGCTTCCTTCCCTCTGGTTAGTTATGTTGTTAATACACACGTAGCGTTATCTATCACCTGTTCACTCTTACAACAACACCTACAGTTCCGAATTATCATTCGGTGTTGTGTGTTTACCTTTGAATAACATTCTTTACAAATTTAATATCGTCCTTGACAGAGAACTGTACACCTAGTTTGTAATTTTGTGATCTCGTATAATGATAACTTCCATTGCATCTTCCCGTGTTTTTGTAGTTTTGTCACCTGTAGTTCTTTTGTCTTTCTTTCTCTCTTTATTGTCCTGAATTCGAATGAGTGATTGAAATAAAATACAAAGGAAGGTGACAGTACAACTCCTTTTCATTTAAAATTGTTTACTCCCAAATACCACAAAAGTATTTTCAATACCCGCTGAAACTTCCGATTGCGCATGCCCGTAAATAAACGACGGTAGTTTTGGATATAGAAGTACGCGATAAAAAATGATTTGGTTGCTTGCTTTTTCATTTTACATCGTTGCCACAGTTTTCGGTGCTGATGAACATTCCAGATCTTCTTACTTCAGAACAGTGGAAAACAGGCGCTTAGCAGCACAAGTGGCCAAAACATTTTATTCCCCTAGTGTTTTGTCGTGCAGTCATGCGTGCCTCAGAAATACTTGGTGTTCCTCTACAAATTTCAAGAAAGGGACAGGTGGCACAGGAGTATGCGAGTTGATTAAGCATGAATCCAACTCAACTTACTATAACAGCAAACTCATACATCAACCAGGCAACACATATGCAATAATTCTAAAGGTGAGTAAATGCAACATTTTATTTGCGCAATGCCGTGAGAGAAATTTTTTACTATTAAACTTTTTCGCTGGCGTATCTAACGGAAAGACAAGTCGAACAGTAATATTTACAAGCAGACAATAATTTGCTATACAATCCAAATAAAACCTTAAACTTCCGCAAGAGCTAGTGACATTTGACACGTAAACGGTTTAACCGTTTCGATGCTGTGTGTTTATTACCAGAAAGCATGATTATGATTCTGCATGGCTAAGGAATAATCTCAGTTAAGTTGAAACTCCCACAATTTCTCCCCTAGAAGGGTACAAGCAAGCGAGGAAACGATTTCCCTTCCTGCCATTTTTCTAAGTTAAAACTATTTTTACTGATAGGGTTGTCTGATGACTGGATGCCTAAATGGAGGTTCTTGCTTGTTAGACAAGAAAAAGGAAGCGTTTTCATGTTCGTGCAAACTACCATGGAGTGGGCAGAGATGCGAAGAAAAATTGAGTAAGCCTTTAGTACAAAGCGTTTGCACATATTTGTTTTTCTATTTATGTATTCGTTTATTCATTTTTTTTGTTTTTCATGAGAGAAAAGTCTTGATGTCCTTACTTCAAGCGTTTTAATGCTGGTTTCGTTTCTATCATTTGTTACTGAGCTCCCCGGTTGACTCGTTAGGGCAAATCCCTTAATTATGGCCTCTAACGTATATGCTACTGGCTAGGGTTTTTTTAATGGCCCCTCTGTCTTGAGCAGAGCATTAAACAATCGCGAGAAAGTTTTGAAATAACTCCAAAGCACTTTCAAAATAAGTTACGTTTTCGCTAACGTCGCCTCCCTGATTCGTGAATCACAGGCGCATTAAGAAGGTGAAATGACAGTTGTCATAACATTCTTCTGGCGGCTAAATTGAAATTCGTCTGAACGGTTCCATTAAAAAAATGATAAGTTATTTTCCCTCTTTATTTTCTTCTCTCGACTAAGTTTTCTACCAAGCTTTCACAGAAACGCTCGCTATAATGCTGAATGGTCCGTAACTAAGGCTTCATTCGCCTACCTTAGCTACCATGGGCAAGCCAACTTTTCCAACTTTTCCTTCCGAAACTTGGTGATTCTTTTACATGAGAAATAAAACGTTGGCTCGACTAGAAGATTGACCCGCCTTTTTCGACCCAGCCGGGTCATATCGGTCAAGGCGAAACAATCGGAGCATGCGCGAGCGTTGTTGTAAGCTCTTGGCTCTGGCAAACGGTCAACTTTTTTCTCATATAAGCGCTCGCCAAAAGTGACTCGGTTGGGAGGATGATCCTCTTTCTAAGGACATTACTGCATCTCAGCTTCTATTTTCCACTGGCTTGGAGTCATATTACTTTTAATTATTCCTTTGTTTGTCTGTTTTTTTTTTTCGCTCAGATTGTCCAGTTGGCTGGTCTGCAGATGGCGACTCGTGTTATTACCTAAACGGTACAGTGGCACAGAACCAGACAGACGCCCGCAAAGTATGCCAGGCAATGGATGGAGACCTCCCAATAATCAAATCAGCCACTGAAGACAAATTCGTATTTGAACTGATAAGAGACAGTGAAACAGTCACAACACTTGGTACCTGGCTTGGGTTAGAGCGAGATAAGAACAAAAGCAAGTCATTCCATTGGATTGATAACACTCCACTTGAAGGAGGGTTCAAGAATTGGTTTTACAAGGAACCGAACAACAAAGGCGGTAATGAAGATTGCGTCCATATGTATGGAAAGCGAGCTTGGAACGGTACGAGGCCAGGAAAGTGGAACGACTACCCCTGTAGTTGTTATCATAAGCTTCCTCATTGCCCTGTTATACTTTGCCAGAAGCCTGCATACTAAGCAAGCCTGCAATGCACTCTTATTATTATTATTATTATTATTATTATTATTATTATTATTATATATTATCATCATTATTATCATTATTACTATTAAATCAATAGATTTTGGTTACGCTCACACGGCACCAGACAAACTTTCGAAAGGTTGAAAATTCGAAAATTATTATTATTATTATTATTATTATTATTATTATTATTATTATTATTATGAGGAAGAAATTAAAGCTGTTTGTTTATATCCTTCTTACCGTGGTTGCCATCTTTGAATGTATAACAGGAGGAGATCGAGGAACTGATTCAACATGCGCTTACTCGAACATTGACGGGCAGGAAGAAAACGCTCGCCATACAGGCTTATACTTAGATAAAAATGTTACGCTGAGATTAAAAGCTGTACATAGCTGGTGTGGCTTTTTGGCATTTGCGTTAGAGGTTCCCAATAATCATTTCTCTACTAATTTGTGTAAAACAAACAAATGAACATTCTAACTAAGGGAATGGGTGTGGATGAGCTTTGTCGAGTTTGAGACCACGAAATTTTCTTATACCTTGCTAAGCGAAAGCCGATTAGCATTAATCCTAGGCTAGCCAGATTTTTTGACAACTTATGTCTCCTAGAAAGCTGTAACCAGGGCTCGGTTTTACTTAAAGACTTAGTTTTGTTAACCAATGATGATTTTTCAGCACGGATATAATTAAGTGAACGTAATCGCTGGTTAAAATTTCTACTCTGGATTGGTGGTTATTGTTTCTCGCGGGGAGCTGGGCCCCGGAGTCAATTCAATTGTTTAAAAACATGAGAAATTTGAAAGTGTAGTTATTATTTGAGACTGTCCAAAGCAGTAGCATAGTTTGTGAACTACACTGTACATTGTTTGCTGATTTGCGGGGGCACCCAACGGGAAATTTTGAGAAAAAGACCTAAAAACAACAACAAAGTGTGAATAAATTTTTCTGAGACTATTTTACGCATTTTGGGAGATTGCTGGAAAATAATTATCTGTTCCTCACTCCCAGCAAGACTGATGGAAGAGTTCCCAGCCAGCAAACTTACAACCTCCAACCCGACTTACTGGGAAGTTTCATAGGGCACAACACACCCTGAATTATCTTTTTCCCAGCAACACTTTCCTTCCAAGGACTATTATTTCTTCCACATCTCCCAGCCAGCAAAAATGTGCCTGAAGAACAGATATTTTGAGGAACAGATCCATTGCGTGCCCCTGGATTTGTTCACGCGATGAGGATAGCCAGATAATGGACGTATTTTAGAGGTAAACATAACGAAAAATTTCCAGTGTACAGTAGTAACATTGAGCGTTTAATTTTATTGAGTCAGCTTTTAGATTATCTTTCAGACATTAGAGATGTGGACTTTTTTCCCCATGTCTTGCACTGTCTAGAAATAAAATTAAAATTGAAGGAGAACTCCACCACAACGCGAAACTGTTCAGTATCTGTGGGACAACATTGTTTATACTACTACATGAGAAATTTCTGCAATTTTATTGGCTTAGAGCAGTGGTATTTCCCCTTATTTTGAAACACATACATGTAAAAATTACAAACCTTTGGGGTAGTAGTATAAACAAATAATGGCATGATTTGTAAGTGATATTTGGCATAAATACCACTCGTAATATTTCAAAATCATTACAAATTTCACTCCCTAACGGCTCGTGAAATTATGTATGACAATTTCGAAATATTACTCGTGGTATTTATGCCAAATAGCACTACAAATCAGGCTATTCCCTATACTAAAACAAATCAGGCAATTTTGAAATTCCTTTGAGTAGCATTCAAAAACCTGGACGCTACCGAACCTTTAATATAATCAGCTCGTTCTGTTACGTTAAAAGTGCCAGTAGTGAGTCTGTACTCTGATGGATCATAGGCAAGTGTCATAAATAATTTGTAAAAATTGTCATAGAGAATTGCTCTCGACCAGACAATTTTAGCTTTCAAGCAATGAGCGCTTGAGATTTCGATGTTGTTATTGTAAAACTGCATGTTGTTACAAAGGCGTGTTTTACTTTAAATCACCTGAATTTTCAGGATAATTTTATTTAAACGACATGATTGGTCTACATTAATTATTATCACAAGCAAACTTAGTCTTGACAGTTTGTTTTACTAAATAAACTTTTCCTTTTATTCACTTTGGCGTGGTGATTTTTTTAAAACTTAAACCTAATAATTTAATTTAACCTGTAATACTTTTTAATTTAAACCTATTCTAAATCTGCATCCAAATCCTCTCAAAGAAGTGAATGCTAGCTGACATTTGACAAATTTTGTGATAATTTTTAGCTAAAATGGCTTCACTAGTTTGTATGAACAGCTTTGAAAATTTTAATTGAAATTTTGAATCTCGAAATTTTTATGCAAATATTAAGAGAGTATGACACTGAATGTTTGTACTTCTGTAGATTCAGTCATCAAAGCAAAAGTGTTTTGGAGAAGAAGTTAAATTATGTCCAACCAGCAAATTATAAAAAACCCCAAGGAAATTATCCATATTTCCGATATTTATGGAGACATATCGTAGTGGTCTATGATCAATGCTTCATTGTGATTTGTTGAGCTACTACTAGGCTATTCGTTATAGCCCACTAGTAGCGAAAAGTGCCGACTTTTTGGCGGCAAAAAAGGCTTAAAGTCTAGCCTTAAGTAGCTAAAGTTGTTTTGTCTCGATATTTTTGACCAACTACTTGGATTTTACTAAAACAATTATTCCTCTCGCCCTCATGGCCTCTGAGTCAATAGCCAGTTCGGCCTTCGGCCTCGTGGGCTATTGACTCAGGGCCCATTCGGGCTCGAGGAATAATTGTTAAGTAGCCTTTGATTTTCCTATCTAGGAATTTCCAATTTGCCTATAGAAGGGCATGGTTATACCATAAAGTTCGCTACAGCCAGGTTATCAATCTAAACAAAGCGTTTTTTATCACCTGTTTAGTCTTAGAAAACCCCCCTACAGTTCTGCCGTGCTTAGTCTTTGAAGGTCCTGCTGTAGGTCTTGATTATTTACCTCACTCATAACAATCGTAATCCTTTCAATTCCGCCCTTGACAGGGAACCGCATAATTAGTTCGTAATTTCGTAATTTGTATTAATATGAAGCTTTTTTCCCATTTCATTTTCTGGCATCGTTAAAAGTTTTGTTTTATTTTTCTACCTTTCTTGTTTTCATTCCAGAAAATGCGTGACTTTGACTAACGCTCTCCCCCTCAATTATTTGCGTGCAGAGAATATTGAAATTTGTCGTTGTTGTGTTGTGTAAACAAATAAATGAATGAAAAGATTAAAATAAGTGAATTTATAAATAAAGTAAAGGTAAACACGCCAGTAGAACTTCTTTTAATTTGTTTTATGCCAAGTACTATTCTCGAATATTAATAATACCTCCGGAAATAATGATTCCCGTTACACATGCTCCATAAGTTAAGGACGTTTCGATTGTTGTAGTATAGGCGACAAAATGATTTCGTTACTTACTTTTTGCTACCTCGTTGTCACAGTTTTCGCTGATGACGAACCTTCCAGATCTTCCTACTTCACAAATGCGGAAAACAGGCGCTTAGCAGCACAAGTGATCAAAAGACTTTATTCCGCTAGTGCTCTGTCGTGTAGTCATGCTTGTCTTAAGAATCCCTGGTGTTTCTCTACAAATTTTAAGTACGGAACAGGTGGTAGCAAAGGAGTATGTGACTTGATTAAGGCTTCGGAGTCAACTAAGGATAACAAAAACTTCATTTATCAACCAGGTAACACATTTACAATGATTCTTAAGGTGAGTATTGTAGTATTTGTTTGCGCAATCATGAGCTTAAGCAACGACGACTTCGATGGCAACGAGAGGCGCTAAAAAGCAATATAGGTTTAGATTGGCAAAACAACAACTTTGCACATGCAGCACGCTCTTTTGTGCCTTTCTTTGCTGTCGCTGCACGACTACGACGTGAGTCTCCCTAATTTCACCTTTATGGAGGACATACGTGAACACAAGACAACGATTTTTTTTTTCTTTTTGTGGACTTAGAAACAGCCCCTTAGACTTCAACTCCTGAAAACAATCGCCAAGATTTGACAAATTAAAAGAGTTGGAATAAGGGCGATGAACAAGTTTGAAGCAGCGCAAATTCACTTTTTGAGTGACGTCCTGCCGTTGCTGTCGTCGTTGCTCAAGCTCCCTAATGATGAGACAGGAATGCCTTTGTATCTTGAAGGAGACTAGGCATTGATACCTGCAGGTAGTCAATTATTTGTTATACAATCCAAATACAAGGCATATACAAAAGCTTTTCATATTTACAGCTCGGGTTAGTTTTTATCGCATTTTAGATTTTCTCGACGAAAATGTGTTTAGGCTTCCCTTTCGTTCATGATTACAATTTAATGAAACTGACTCTGAAACTCAGTTTTTTGTATTAGCCCCGTATTGAGCGAAAGCAACTTCTTTTTTGGCACATTTGGTCGGTAAAAATTCGAATACGGCTGATATTAGTAAGGTATAATCATAGTTAATTGAGTGGAATGGTTATGAAACCGTCAGACTCCTTTGTTATATGTTTTTGTGGACCTGAAAGTGCACAACGTTCAAAAGAATTCCTATCATTTTGATTGTATTGACCAATAAAAACGTTGCATTAATTTATTCCGTAACAATTTGCCAACAGAAAACAAAGGATTGTGCACTTTCAGGGCGCTTCCAACATAAACTGCAGCACTGTTGTTTTTATCATTGATGTTTGCCGCTTTTCATAACCAGTCTCCTCAAATAACTATGGTATAATCAAGTTAAAAATGATCTCCGTGACAGTTTTTTTGTTTATATAAAAAGGTAAACTATCGCTTGAAGTTAACTGTCATTTACCGCAACGAGTTTGCGATATCGAAGCTTGGAGTGACTCTTGTTTATTACCGGAAAGTGTTATTATTGTTATGTCGAATGGCTAAGTAACGATTGAAGTTAAATTTAAAAATTCCGGGAATTTCTCCGCACATTAACCCATTGTTTGGCGAAAGCAGACATGCTTTCTTGGAATAAAGATTAAAAATATCGTGCATTTTGGATGCAAGGAAGCAAGAAAACGATTGATTTTGCTTTCAGTTTTAATAAAGCACTTCTTGCTTATAGGGTTGCCTGATGACTGGATGCCTAAATGGAGGATCTTGTTTGTTAGACAAGAAAAGGGAAACGTTTGCCTGCTCGTGCAAACTATCGTGGAGTGGACAAAGATGCGAAGTAAACTCGAGTGAGCCTTTACTTAGTTTTCGGGTTTTCTGTTTTATTATTATTAATTCAATCTTTTCTCATGAAAAAAAAAGTTTTTACGTCCTTACTTCAAGCGCTTTAATGCTGATTTTATTTCTTATATTTGTTACCAAGCTCCCGGGTCGACCCGTTCGCGACGCTTCCTTATATGGCCTCCAGTGCCGGATATGTTCCTGGGGAGGGTTTGAATTTTAGCTCTTTCGTCTTGAACAGGATATTGGAATTATCACGAAAATGCTTCGAAAGGACACGAAAGCACTTAGCAAGTGACATTTGTGCAACTAGGGAGTTAAAGACGCCACGACAGCGAGGACAACGGGAACGGCAAAAAGACATTAGGTTGAATAGGCAAAACAACAACTCGCTTTTTTGTTCATTTCGATTTTTTGGCCTACAATGCACGACTACGACGAATTACTACGACTGAGACGAAAAAATATTTTTGTCGTTCTAATCTTGGATATGGTTCTTAGTAATTCGGCTCCAGAAGAGTTGGCTTCCATTAAAATAATTAAGCAAGCTGGAATAATCGCGATAGAGATTGAAAAATTAGGAATTCAGTATTTAAGGGACGTTTTCGTGTCCGTCGCCGTTCTTGCTATCCTAAACTCCCTACTATCGCCTCCATGAAGCGTCTTTCAAGCTCCCCTCAAAATAGAGCCAATGTAACGATTGAGGAGAGAGGAGGAGTTTTTCTATCCCCTATTCCTCTCCCAGCCAAATTTTCTCCTTAGCTTTCAAAGAGTCGCTTGCTTAGTAGCCTCCCACGCAGACAATCTTAGGGGTTCGTCACACGTTCCTGTCCCTCCTGGAGCAGGAACGCGTGACGAACCCCTAAGAACGTCTGCGAGGGAGGCTACTTGCTCAGAGGTCCGTTGCTATCAAAAAATCTTATTTCTGTGGCTTCGATACCATCTTTCATTGCCTTGAAGTTATCTTTCGCTATTATTTGCTTCTTTTTGCTTCAAGGATGTCCATCTGGCTGGGTTACATTTGGTGGTTCATGTTTTTACCTGAGCGGTACAGAACAACAGGTCCCGAGCGACGCGCACAAGGCATGCCGGACTATGGGTGGAGACCTCTCAATAATCAAATCAGCCGCTGCAGACAAATTTATATTCGAACTTATAAAAAATGGTAATACAGTCACACCATTTGGTGCGTGGCTTGGGTTAGAACGAGTTAACGTTAACGCAACCAAGTTCCGTTGGATTGACGGTACTCCACTGGAAGGAGAGTATAAGAATTGGTTTGACAGGGAACCGAACAACCAAGGCTTTAATGAAGATTGTGTCAATATGTTTGGGAAGTCAATTGACAACAGAACGACCTCGAGGGCAGAAGGAAAGTGGAATGACTACCCCTGTGGATGCCATAAGAGTCTAAACCTTTGCCCTGTTGTTCTTTGCCAGAGGCCTTTACGGCCATGATAAATACTGTTGATTCAACTTCGATTCTTGCAATTGGACGAGCGCGCGGCGCAAGTTCGTTTTGAAATCTTTAGCTATCTTTAGCTAGATAGATAAAAAATGTGTCCCTGTAAAGCATGTTGAGGCATGAGTTGACCTTAATTTGTATAAAATCTTATAATGATCCAGTAAGTTTGTGAAAATTTACCAGAACGTTCTAAAATTAAGCAACCTCAAAAACATCAGTACCCTTAAATTTCCTGTTTCGTAAGAAACAAGATATTTGTGTCACGTAAAAATTCAACACCTCGAAAGAGAGCTTTCCGGAAGATTTTACCGACTTTTAGAATTGAAATGCATGGCTGTAGAAGAAAAACTGCTTTATCTTCGCGAGTGGTCGAGACCACAAGTTGAGCCATGCCTTAACATGCATGAGGTTGCTAGTGGTAATGCTTTTTCTGAGAGTCCAGTTAATACGGACACTCGGATCATGCACACTTTGGCATGTCTCTTGGTGCATGTCCGTATTAACAGGGCTCCACTACAGTGTATCATTAAGCGGAAGGTAGTTAAATTGCATACTAAGGTATCATACAATCCAGGGTATTAATTATTATTATTATCATTATTATTATTATTATTATTACTATTATATATTATTATTATTATTATTATTATTATTATTATTATTACTATTATAACAATAGATTTGGCTACGTTCACACGGCACGAGACAAACTTTGGAAAGGTTGAAAATTCGAACGTTTGCAGGTGTTTCGTTCACACGGAAGCACCTTAAACGTACGAAAAGTGAGACTTCTATTCGTTCGAAACTAAGTTCGAGTTCGAGTTACCGAGGATAAAATTACATAAAATGTATGAAGGAAATCCATGGGAAATCGACTTTGGTTCGAGTTAGCGCGAGGTTCGAGTTAGTCAGGGTTCGAGTTAGTGGGAGTCAACTGTAAATGTATGAAGGAAGACAAGGGGAAGTCGACTTTGGTTCTTGATAGCGCGATGCTCGAGTTGGAGGGAGTCAGCTGTACTGCGTATGCATCGTCCCCAACTATCTTGGGTGGCCAGTGCTGCTGCATGGATCGACGACTTTTGAGCTGACTTTGTGGGCACTTCTCTTAAACGATGTCGTTCTGGTTAGAATCTTGACAAACTCCAATCCGTCGGAACATTTTCTTCACCGCAAAACGGAATTCTCTTTTACGGATAGAATAGATAATCGGGTTGCATATTGTGCTGAGGAAGAAAATACACACAGTGGCAAGGTCTGCTTCGGCTGGAACATCGATTCCTGGGACGAACAGGCGACAAATGCCTGTAACCCAGAAGGGAAGAAAGCACACCAAGAACGTGGCAATGACAATAGTGACATCGACAGCGGCCTTGCGATCTCTTAGTCGTCTCGATACCATCTCTTGCTGTTGAGTGATTTCAGCATCAACAGGGCAACCAACCTGGACTACCATAGCGTTTATCTGCCGACTCGCTGTCTTGAAAACAGACACATTTAGGACCAAAATCACCAGGAATGGCATTATAATAGTGGCGATAGGTATAAAGATCATGTTTTCACTGATCGTGATGCTACCGTTCTGCAGATCGATAGCCCTTAACTGCTCGCAGATGATTAACTCTGGGTTGTAAGCGTACTTTCCCCAACCTTGGAACAGACCAATAGAAATTGGAATCACCGGGATTATCCAGATGAGAGCTATCAACGCCACTCTGGTTTTTGTAATGGTACCATCGTACGTCAAAGGCGACTTGACGATCGCTAGGTATCTATTATAAGACACTGCCACCAAGTGAAGAACCGTGTTGATGTAGAAGTATCTCACAAAGAATGGGTTGAGATAACACATTGTTTGGCCATACAACCAATGTTCTTGCGCTATACTTTTGATGCGGAATGAGTTAACAAGGATCAACAGCAGAAAGTCTGATAAAGCGAGACTGACCAGTAAAACATATCGCATCAAATGAAATCTTGATTCCAAGATGATCACCATCATGACCAATAACCGATCATGTCGTACATTGCGTGGAACGCTGCTATCACTTGTGGGAAGCTCATGGCTGAAATCGCCGGTAAGTAAAGTATTTTGCTTGAACGTAAAGAGTAAAGTAACCTTAAATGAGGTTCAATTTATGTACTTTTTCTGCGGACTTGAATATCATTAAAGTTTTTCTTGGACAATATACGCAATATCTTTTCTTTCACTTGATGGACGGAAATATAGTCTTTATAAACAGTCACAAAAACGCAGACAGTAACTTTGAAAGAAATCGTTATTTTTTTGTTTCCAAAGATTGTAATAATTGTAACTTATAAAAGACATCATGAGAATGCAACATATGTAAAATTATCTAAAATTTCCTAAAGCCTTGTTTCGTTTCTTTTCCATTTTTTTCCTGAGAAAAATACAGTGTTTTCACTTCGGTGTGACGGTAAAAAAAAATTTTCAAAGAAAGTAAAACAAAGCATTTAATTACTTCAAACCATCTGATGCGTGCAGTAGCCGCACCTTTCCCAAGATATCTGCACGGACTAGGTTATAGAAGCTAAAAGCGCCTTATCGTCCTTGGGAATTAGGTGTTTGTGATATATGCCTCATTTGTATCTATTTTATACTTGATTACTTTTTCTGCAGTTTTATTAATGGGTGCAAATTTCAGGTCATGACCAGTCATGTTTTGTTTTATTGAAATTCTTTTTATTTGAGGAAAATTGTAAAGTAACTAAGATCTGGAAAATTCATCATTGCGCTGCCCTATTTTG